CACTGAGCTAAATCCCCGGCCCCTATATAATGTAACATTTGAGTTGTATTTATATATATTAAAATCTTAAAGTTCATCTTTATTAGAAACTAGTGGTTGTTAGGCATGGTGGTGTATACCTGTAATCTAGCACTTGAGACGTTTGAGGCCAGCCTGGGCTACGTAGTTGTTTAAGACCAACCTAAACTACATAGTGAGGCTCTGTCTCCAAAACAAAAAGACTAAAGTATGTAAAGCATGAATGAGGCATGCAGTGGGATTGTTTCTAGTACAATTGCTTAAGCCAGATGTTAAATATCATTCAAATTTTATTTTAAATTAATATACCTCACTCTAATGCACAGACTGAGGTATTAATCTCTTGTAATTCTCATCTCTGCCACAGACAGGGAGATTTGCTTTACCAGGTCCTTTCACTTCCGCCTCAATTCTGACCTTATTTAAGTAAATAAAGTCAACAATCCAAGGGGTTTGGATTATGTATAAATATTAACAATGTTTTAAATGGTGTCAGTTCCCTAGCTTTTGAGTTTATTTTTTACTTAATTGTGAGTAATAAGGATGTAGTAATATTTATTTTAACATTTTAAAATGAATTTTATTTGCATCATGGTGGATGGAAGCTTATGGTGATAGTATGAAACATTACTCATTGTCATTGCTGCTGATTCTATGAGGAAATGAATTTCAATTTCCAAATAAATTGACTTGCTCATTAGAAGCGTGGGAATGTATTGATGAAAAGAGGGAAATATGGGAATGTTTTCTTAAATATAGATACATAGGGGCCAGGGATTTAGCTCAGTGGTTTCACCGCCTGCTGTGCAAGTGCAAGGACCCGAGTTCGATCCCCGGTACCGAAAAAAAAAATAGATACATAGTTTCAGTTTTGGAAAGTTACATACTCAGTACACAAGTAATAGCTCTGATAATACAAGGAAGAGTTGAAGGATTTATTGATAATAATGACGTGTTGAGAACTCTTTACAACTCAACATGTATTCTGGACAAATGATATTAGTAAATCCAAAAAGTACTTTGTGTATATTATAATCTGAAAGTTTTATTAACTGTAGTATTAATCTCAAATAAAATTTGTTTAATAATAAAAAATAAATATACCTGCCTCACTGTGAAGTATATAATAAATAAATGCAGTTATGAATAAGTATCGTTATTGTTGTTTTGTTCTAGGTCTTCCTCTGTAGTCCAGGCTGGCTTTGAATTCACTGTGTAGCCCAGGCTAGCTTGTGACCTACTGTCATCCTTCTGCCTTCACCGCCTGAGTGCCTGGATTACAGGCATGCACCACTACCTTTAATTGTGTTTAAATAGAGAAATTCATCTGGATAAGCCATCAAGAATAGCATGTACAAAAATCTAGTTACATTTTTACTTTTTCTTTATTACTTTTCAGGGCAAGAGGTCTAGGACAACTTATCAGAGCCAAGAATATAAAAACTATTGGGGATTTGAGTACTCTTACAGCATCAGAAATAAAAACTCTTCCTATTCGTTCTCCAAAAGTGTCTAATGTAAAAAAGGCTCTCAGAATATATCATGAACAGCAGGTAAAGATTTAGATGGTCCTTACACATTATCTGTTAATTGATCTAACAATATAGCTACAAATGTCTGTATAAAGTCACATTTTTTTGGTCCTTCTATCGCCATCAAGAGCACTTTTTATTCCCACAGTAGAGTTTACTCCTTTGTTTTGTACTGTTTCTATGTAACATCCCTTGGGTTTATTTTTAAATTTTCTTTCATTCTTTGAATTCTTTTCTACCTCCTTTCCGTGTTCATTTCCATCATGAAATGGCTGCTATTCCTAAAACCTAAATGTTCAAATCCAAACATTTAAAAAATATTACAAATATTTAAGTCACATTATTTTGATGGAGGAGGGCTGCGGTACTGGTGATTGAACCTAGGGACTTTGCAGGCTTTTACATTACCAACCCCTTTTTTACTTTTACTTTTAGACAAGGTCTCATTAAGTTTGTCAGGCTAGGTCAAATTTTCTGTCCCCCTACCTCAGCCTTGCAAAGTACAGGCATGCACCACCACTTCCAGAGTTTCGATTTTGATGTCTCGCACATTTGAACTTAATGTTCTTTTTCTTTCTATCAACATTTTGCCCATAAACATTTGAATTGTGGGCAGTTTTCAAGGTTCTAATGAAAGCTAAGATTCTTACCCTCATGAAAATGTTTGCAGAAAATTTTATATATAAGTTTAGGATTTGCAGATTGCTAAAACCCATTCAGAGATCCATCCCTTGACATTATTAGACTTTGTGAATAAATGAAAAAAATAAGAGTATAAGAGTGAGAACTATTAGATTTTCTTAAAATAGGATTTGCTAGCTGCTGAACAATTTTGTATTCTTAGAAGTCATTGGTTTATATTGTCATCCTCAAAAACATTAGCTGACTTATTACTTTACAAAAAAAAAGTGAAAGCCTTGCCTGTAATTCCAGCATTCTAGGAGGCTGAGGCCAAAGGATCACAAGTTCAAGCCCAGCCTGAGCAAGTTAGCGAGACCCTATCTCAAAATAAGAGGGAGGAATGTAGCTCATTTCTGAGGCTCTGGATTCAATTCCCAGTACCACTGAGAAAATGTAGGAAATAAATGATGCCCAGAAACTGTACTATGCATAGATTGAGTTTCTGAAATATTTTCTCATGTAACACCCATGGGCCCTGGAAAATTGTGTGTGTGTGTGTGTGTGTATGTGTGTGTGTGTGTGTATGTAATTTATGAGCAGCTTTATAGTGTACTTACATAGATATCACTATCCACATGATCTAATTTAAGTCCATTATGAAATATAAATTCCAGACCCTCCTTTTGAAGAAATTCTTTGTAATGCTGGTTTTTTTTTTTGGTACTGGGGATTGAACTCAGGACCTTGCACTTGCGAGACAGGCACCGGAACCACTGAGCTAAATCCCCAGCCCTGTTTTTGTATTTCTTACACACTGTTCTTAGGAATATTAACTGAGTTAATTATTATGGGCTTTACAACATACACCCCATTTATTGTGTGCTTTCCCAATATTTGTACCATTATTAATGTTAAATTGAGGTGTATGCAGTGGCACGTGCCTATAATCTCAGTTACTCAGAAAGCTGAAGGGGATTACAAAAAAAATAATTTGACTTGTGGTTTTGTGTTTTTGCTTTTTTCACTGCTCTAAATGTGTTATCAAGATGAAGTCTCATGGACTTGAAGAAATTCCAGTTTTTGATATTTCTGAGAAAACACTAAATGGAATGGAAAATAAATCAGCTGATGAAGAAAGGCTTGTCTCAGGTATAGTTTATTAAAATGAGAATTTTATTTAGGAAATCAGCTAACTTTAAAAATAATGTTATACTTTTTAAGTAATTTGGCCTGCTGTATGAATTCAGTAAGTTTTTTGGTGCTTAATACAAAGTGCATGAAAAAATAACTTAGTTGGCTTTCTCTAATTGTCAACTTCTAGTTCTTCAAGGTCTCCAATACAGATTCTACGTTCTGTGTTCTGTTCCAGTTTTTTATATATATATATATATATATATATATATATGTTTTTGGGGTTTTTTTCGTACCAGAGTGGGACCTTGCATGTGCCAGTTATATTAATAAAATAAAGTAGGCATTTCTTAACGAACAAGATCTAAATTTTTTTTTTTTTTTTGCTTTTTGCTTTCATTTTGTTTCTTTGAAAAAAAATTGAGTCCCATCCTGTTTTATTAGTTTAAACCTAGGCACTTGAACTTTTTCTTAATTTGATAGGAGATACATGCATGTTAACCTTTACCCTGTATAGTTTAGTATCTTTTTTTTTCTCTCTTTTAGATTTGATTAATCCTGTTGCTTTAGAAACTCCATTATCTAAAAATCTTTTGGCACAAATTAGTGCTCTTGCTCTTCAGTTGGATTCAGAAGATCTTCATAATTATTCAGGAAGCCAGCTATTTGAAATGCATGAGAAACTTGGTACTATGGCAAACTCTATAATAAAAAATCTACAGTCACGTTGGAGATCACCAGCCCATGAAAATACTAGTTAGTATCTTAAGAGAAAATTGGAAGATTTTAAAACATCACCATATTTCTTGATTAATAAAACATACTCTGATATATTGCAGAATTTTAAAGCGAAAACTGTTTGCAAAGTTAGTCACGTTTCACACTGTGAAGGGTAATGATTTTATTACGTAGGTGCAGTTTTTAAATTTCATTAGGTAAAATTTTTTTCTCACCATATTTTCTCGGCTACCATGCATAGTTTTTCATGAAATTTAAATGTCTGACTGAAATTGAAAGCAAAAGTAGAAACAAGCATACATTTGATTTCATATTCTCTTATTTTGGTAAAGTGTGTAATACAAAATAACTTAAAGTGAAATTCAATTTTTTATTTGAATTTTGCTGAACTGATAAACATGTTCATATTTGGATTTTGCTCATTATTCATATTTGTTTTACTCGAGGTTTGGAAAATGTGTTCCTGGTAAAACACTTCAAGTGAGATGCAAAACATTTGGGATTTTACTCCTGTAGATTTTTGGACAGCTTGGAAGAAAAAAATACCAAATTTCAACTTCTTGGGTTAAAATATTAATGCAGAATGTACTAAAATCCTATTCCTTTGCATTAGCAAACATTTTTGCAGCAGCATTTGCCTGTGAAAATTTACTCGTGAGACATACAGTATTCATTTATAAATGCATGACTGTACATTATGTATAGATGGTATTTTTAATTTATAAATTTCAGCCTTCATTGCATGTTTCTCTGCAGCTTGTTGTGAATACCTTGGTTTTGTTTAATTGAAACATTTGTATATATTTAATACTGAAATATCAGTATGGACAATAGAAATAATTCATGGGCTTGCTGCAGATATTTGTAATATTCTACATCTACAAATAAAACAACACATAGTTTTTGTACTTAGTTAATAATCTCAGTTAAAACATGGGTTTGTTTTCTGAAGTATCCAAAAAGTAAAATTATTGGGCCGGGGATTTGGCTCAGTGGTTCCACCACCTGCCTCGCAAGCGCCAAGACCCGAGTTCGATCCCCGGAACCAAAAAAAAAAAAAAAAAAAGAATGGAATGCAAAAAGTAAAATTACTGAAACAAGAAAATGTTACATGACAACTTTGCTATTCATGCCCTTGTCTTTTTTTTTTCTTTTGGTTTGGAAGATACCAGCCACTAGAAAGTGTGCCTCATTAACATTTCTTCTTAATGAAGAGTTAGTCTGAACATATATTCATTGCAAATTGGACTATAAGAAGTCTAGAGATAACCTGCTTTTTCCACCTATACCTAAAAATAAAGTTGGAAGAAGTGGTGAAATTGTTCTTTTTATATGTGCATGTATGTTTTGCCAAGTTTAAAAATAGAGTGTGTAATTAAAACATTGGTAAATTTCAGCAAGTAGTATTAGTGCCTGGCTTCCCATATATGTTATGTCTTTGTGTGCATGAGACAGAGACAAGGACTTGCTGTGTAGTCCAGGCTGGTCTTGAATTTGAAATCCTCTAGCCGTAGTCTCTCCTGAGTGCCCTGATTACAGGTCTGTGCCACCCCATCAAGCTTATTTTTGTGGGGTTTTTTTTTTTGTCTTTTTTTTAAACTAGAATTATATCTCACTTGTTCTCCAATAGAATCAGTGAGTTGATTTTGTTATAGTTAACACCTACTTGAAAAGCATGCTTCTAGGTCAAGTCATAGAAAGGTTAACCTTCGGTCTACTTTAAGATTTTCCTATCCAGTAGGGACTTTCAGGCAGTTCCAATAAAAATTAATACCTCTCTTCAAAATCACAGATATATTGTTTTATACATATTTTTTGTTTGAAGAATACATATATATCACATATATATGTGTGAAATGGTTTTAAAAAGAAATCCTGAAATTGTTGAACCAAGATTTGTAGTTTGATTAAAAAAATGAAAAACTCAGTTTTTTTTTTTTGGTACCAGGGATCAAACTCGGATCCTTCTGCTTTTGAGGCAGGTGGCAGAACCACTGAGCTAAATCCCCGGCCCAAAAACTCAATTTTTAAAAGAACCACAATTGTAGTTTACATTGTCTGTCATATTTAACAGTGAAGAAGCACATGAGTGTTTGGTGAACAGGTATGAATAAGAAAGGGTATGCATTTACTGAAGGGATAGCTGTGTACTTTAATGCAGACACAGTTCAAAGTAAGAATCAGTTTCATGACTACATGCTGTAAGATTTGTATGAACTGGGCCGGGGATTTAGCTCAGTGACACCGTGCCTGCCTCGCAAGCACAAGGTCCTGAGTTCCATCCCCAGTACCAAAAAAACAAAAACAAAAACCAGAAAAATTTGTATGAACTATTCACATTTGCTGGTGGGATACAGTTCTTGGGAGACTGGGTAGTACACCAGAAAATGTGAGTGAAATGATTACCATGTACATACTTAAATTATTGAATTTGATACAAGTATTAGTACTAGTTAAAACAAATTGTGGCTCAATGAAGTGTTTAAAAATATTAAGGCAAATGTCAGCTTGTTAAATCATCTGTTGCTGTCGTTACAAGCATATATTTGAATCACCTTACTTTAATATTGCCTAAAATTTTTCTGCAAATCTCTCCCTGAAATAACAAAAGCATTAATATTTTTTGGTAGGCTCCAGTGTATTGTTTCACTAATAAAAGATTTTTTTCTGATCGTTAATAAAACATGGCAGATACTACTAACAACACTCAAATCTGGTTTCTTAATATTCATCTTGAATCTAGTGGCATGCAGTATAACTTTTAATATCTATGAAATCTGTTGGATTAGATTTCAGTGGATTTAAACTTGAATTGAGTCCATTTAAAGATACTCTGTTTTAACAAGTTTAAAACCATTGGAGCTTTACTCTTAATTCCTAATAGTGTAGGTTGGGTCAAGTTAATCCTTTTAGGAGTAATATAGTCAAAAACAGGATTGAAGTCTGAAGTTTAAAAGCATGATAGCTGGCTGACATTGCCCAGTTTTTTTTAGGTTTTTTTTTTTTTTCTGTACAACTTGAAGGTAGTCAAGGATTCTGTTACCTATTTAAGGGTAATAGAAATATTAATTAGGAGATCAAGAAATTAAATTGGAAAAAATAGAGATCTGAATATCTAAGTGGGATTTTGTGGGATTTTTTTTTATAGGAATGAAAATATTACAGAAACTGCTATTGGAAAAGCTAGTTGAGATTTAAGAGAAGATTTTGGTAGGTGGAAGAGACTATATTTACTAAGCCACTTAAACCCTTATGTGTATATACATACATGTATACACATATAATGCTGAACTTTTGATATTTAACGCAGTGCTTTTCAAACTTGTAGATGCAGGTAAAATTGTGAATTCTGATTAAATAGATCTGAGTTGTGGGTCTGAGCCCATGTTTCTAAGAGATTCAGAGTATCTATACAGATACTGATGTCCATTAATTGCACTTGTAATAGATAGGCTTAAGAGACTCCAAGCTTATGTAGATTTTGATAATGCAAGCAGATTTAAGTCCTTAAAATTATTCTTAATAAATGACTCAGGCTAGAATTTTATAAATTTTTGAAATAAATGAATTGAGAATGCAGACTGATTGTGAAGTTTTCAAATTAAAGTTTAAAACTTTAAAAGTTAAGGACAGAATTTTATCTCTTTTGGAGCCTCTAAAAATAGTAAATTTAAAAAAAAGGGTACCCCTTAAGAGTTAAGTCTCATGTTAAAAAGAACATCATTAATGCAACAGATTAGATAGCATATTTTTGTGAGTATATGTGGATCATGTTTTCATTTTTCATTAATAGTAAAATATATTTTCAAATAATCAGAAATAGTCTAAATTTTACTGTCATTTTATTAATAAACCTTGAAAAAGGTATTACCTCTAAGATTGTTTGGCACTAGTATTGCCATAATGAAGTCTTGTCTGACCGAAATGCTTTGTCATATTACTGAGGACTTCTGGTAACTTCATTTGTTCATTGAGAATTTCTATTTCATTATAAAATGTTTGAAAGGTACAATTGAATAACTTGATTCTCTAAAGTGAATTTTTCTTGAAATTGTGCTTGGGTGTCGGGTTACCCTCACATATTTAAAACTGTATTTGTAAGGGCTGCCGTAATTCAAAGGACTTCAGAAAATTTAACCAAAAGTCATATAATAGGATTTTGAAATCACTTTATCAGGATTTATTTATTACAGTGAGGCATGATAGCTCACATCTCTGTAATACCAACACTGGAGGCTGAGGCAGAATTGAGTTCAAAGTGAGCCTACACTATATTCAAGACCATGTCTCAATTTTTATGGATTGCTTAAATTTATGATTTATTGTGGCCCAGTTAATGGGATGTTTACTATATGCCAGGTTTAAAGCCTAGTCCTTCAAATTTGAAAATCTGTATACTAGTCTTAAAGAATGAGAGTTCACTCCATTCTTAGAATACATGTTAAATTTTTACATTGTGTTGGGCCGGAGATTTAGCTCAGTGGTTCCACCGCCTGCTTCGCAAGCTCAAGGACCCGAGTTCGATCGCCGGTACTAAAAAAAAAAAATAGAAAAAAAAAAAAAGTTTTTACATTGTGATCTTAACCATTTTTCCTTTTATATACTAGGCTTTTCCCAAAAGAACAATTAGTTTTGTTCTTTAAATCCAGAGATGACATACTAAGCTGTTAACCCTACTTTTCTGTAAGACTATAAAACTGAAGGCTATCTTTTCCAGTTGTTGGTATCAAAAGGAAGAAAAACTATGTAATTTTATTTTCTTCTATTATCTTTACTGACATTGTGGCTAAATCTAAGCTCTTTAAACAGTAAGCAGATATGCTGGCGGGAGTTGATATACTACAGAGTGATAAAGTGAGGTAGAAGGAAAAGGAACATTGAACCAAAATTTTAATAAGGAACTTACGCTATTTGATATAGGGACAAGCAGTCCTATCTTGAGCTATTCTATACCTAACACAGTACTATAATTGAGTGACGTTTTTAAAAAGTCCCCCCACCCCCGCACACACCAGCAGTAAATTATTTTCAACAGAAGGCACCTTTATTAAGTGGACAAGAAACAAGTGAGTAGGAAGTTCACCTTTAAAATTGTATTATGGAACTGAAAATGGAATATAGTATAATTATTTTTCTACATAATTGAATGATTAAAAGATGCCTGAAGCATTTATTTTTATAGAATGAAAACTTTTTAAAAAAATGAATATGAGATGGGATCAGTTTTTGAATATAGAAATTAAAGGGTGGTGTTCTTACCTAGTAAGCATGTATACAGGGACCAGACAACTACACTTGCCACCTGTTTTTGTACTGCCCACAAGCTAAAATGGCTTTTTATATTTTTATATGGTTGGAAAAAGTTGAGACTGTTTTGAAAAGAATGAAAATATATGAACAACAACTTTAGTGTCCAGAAATGAAGATCTATTGGAACACAGTTACGCTTATATACTATTGTTGGCTGCTTCCCTGCTATTATGTCAGAGGTGAGTAGTCTGACACAGATGTATAACTAGTAACTACTAATATGTTTACTATCTGGCCCTTTCAAATTTGTCAGGTCCTGTTTTGTTCATATGTGGCATATAGTTAATTTGCTTTTTTGCTTCTTGCTGGCTTGACTGGATTTTGGATTCCTTTTCTATTACTTGTGTTTTATTTATAAAGTGGATTCCATGATTTCATTTATTTTACTACTACTCAGACATACTAAGAGATACTAGTACTTTTTAAAATATACCTGTTTATTCTTAAATCTCAAAGTAGTTGTTTGCTATGAAAATAAGGGACTTTGGTTTGAAGGAAAAGAATTTGGCACTAATATGTTAAATTATACCTGTGAAATAGGATATAGGAGTTTGCTTTTCATGTTGAATTGGCGATTGCTTTCAACCTATTTAACTCTACCTCCTGTTGATAGCCCTAACTGATATGTGCACTTAGAAAAAGATTGGTAAGAGCCAAACTGGTCATGTAATAACCCTACAGTGTTTTTGTTGGCATCACTTGGCAGACTGAGAGCTTAGTTTTACATTCACAAAGTATTTGATAACACTTTCAAAATTAAGTTGAAACAATAAAAATACCTGTTACTATTAACTGCACTATATGGTAAATAAGGTGCAGTTTTATTTGATCATGTTAATGCTTTACACAATATTTGAAGCAGGTAGAGCTACACTTTCAAAAATAGATACTTCTGGTTCATTTTGACTGTTGAGAATCTGATGCATAGTAAAACCTGTTTTGAATTGAGAGTTGACTGTTAAATTTGCTAATCGTAATGGTTATTGCAACTTTTTTTTTTTTTTTAAGAAATGCACTTTTTACCAAGAATAAAACTAAAATCTAAATTCTGGTGTTCATTTCTGTGTGCTTTGGCTTGTGTGTATGTGTTCTTAGTATGAGTAGCATGATCCAAATATGAATGTAAGTGAATATCACTTTACAGACACAAACCTTTTCCAATTTTCACCCATTTTATGGCCTGCTTTTTGAGAGGGTTTTTAGAGGTTCTTGTTTTATGAGTTGTTCAGGCTTAACCATTTTAAGTGAGAAAAGAGATAAATAGTGATGTTAAAAGATAATGGATTCCTGTTCCAGGACAGTATCATACACTGAGTGGATGATGTAAAACAGTATCATACACTGAGTGGATGCTTAAAGTCTGAGATAAAGTAGTGGGATCAGTTTCTTCTAAGGACTGTGAAGAATCTGTTACATTTGTTAAGTTTCTGTTAATTTTCTGGCTGTTTAGGGGCATTTCAGGCCCATAGAAGCATTGCCCCAAGCTCTGCCTTCATCTTCACATGGCTTTCTCCTTGTGTGTATATTTGTCCAAATTTATCCCATTTCTAAGGACATGAATGTATTGGATTAGAACTCACCCTGATCTCACCAAAACATGAGTTTTCGGAGAACACAGTGCAACTGAAAATGTATATTTGGGTTTGAGTTTTGGCTGTAGTATAACCTAGAGAAAAAACTTATAATTTCTTGATTGAATATCTGTTCAGTACAGTTCTTTGCAGTTCGTCAGTTCTGTTTGGCAGTGAAAACGGAAAGAACTTCCCCATGTTATTGTACTGGCAAGAAAATAGGACACAAGCAAATGGCTAGGCAGTATCAGGGAATTTTGAACACACCATTTCCAATTTTGAAGGTGTGGTTGATGTTTTTAGTCCCTTTGGAGATGCACAGGGAAATGTGAGTATAGGATTCACTTTAAAAGAGGAATTGCATAGGTGAAGAAAGGAAAAAATGTTTAACCATGAAGCTTTAAAAGATACGGAATTAAAAGTATTTTTATAATAGCTAATTTATGGCAGATTTAGAATAAAATTTAAAAAAAATTAAACCAGTCCATTGTACTGATAGCAAATTTTTTTTGGTACTGAGTATCAAACTTGGGACCTTGTGCTTGCAAGGCAGGCACTGGAACCACTAAGCTAAATCCCTGGCCCAAGGAGCAAATATTTTAAGGTATTTCCAAAGTTTGGGGATATCTCCACAATCTGTGGCCTATCTTGAATTATTACTTAGTTTGCATAAAGATTGAAGACTTGGGAGCAGGAGGATATTGCACTATTGGGATTCTTGGACTCTGCTTTAGTCTTGATCAGTGTCTCCTAAAGGCCCTTGTGTTGTTTTTTGGTACTGGGGATTGAACTTGGGACCTTGTGCTTGCAAGGCCGGTGCCGTAACCACTGAGCTAAATCCCCGGCCCAAAGGCCCTTGTGTTAAAGATGTAGCCCTTGTGCTATTGTGAGGTTATGTCCTACTATTTGGAACCTTTTAAGACTTTGGAACCTTTTAAGACTTGGGCTGTCACACAGCTATCTTTGACAAAGGGGCCAAACACCTTCACTGAAAGAAAATTGGCCTCTTTAACAAATGGAGCTGGGAATATTGGCTTTCTACATGCTGAAGACTGAACCTAGACCCATATTTCTCACCATGCCCTAAATTAAAATCAAAATGGATCAGAGATTTAAATATTAAGACAATCTACTGGAAGAGAGTTGGTAGGACTGAAGACAGATGTAGGCAGACTTTATGAACGAAATCTTAGTTCCACAGGAAATAGGAAGAATCAACTGGGATTACATCAAATTAAAAAAGACAGTAAAGGAAACCAGAAAGAAACCTACAGAATGGGAAATGATTTTTGCCAGCTACTCCTCAGAGGACTAATACCTAGAAAATAACTCACTCAAAAAGTTAGACCCTCCCCCTGCCCAGATTTAAAGAAGCAATCAAAAAATGGGCATCAGAAATAGACACTTCTCAGATGAATTGCAGCCATTAAGTATATGAAAAAAAGCTCAACATTGCTGGCCATTCAGAACTCTCCAGAAAGGATGGCTACCATCAAGTAAATGCTGACAAGGCTGTTTGGGGAAACGGAACCTTTCTGCATTGTTGGTGGGAATGTAAATTGGTACAATCACTATGGAAATCAGGAAGATTCCTCAAAAAATAAAGGAACGCAGGGCTTAGGAAGATGGAGTGGTAAGCAGCAACCAGTTGGCCTCTCCAATATTCGGAATCTGGACACTGGAAGATGACTTGGGAAGAAATGGAAGGTGGATTCCTGGGACCCAGGAAAGATTTCAAGGGAAAATTGGAGCCTGCAGAGAAGAGACCAGAATGCAGAAAAAGGAAGGGGCACGGGGCACTTTCTCTTTGGCTCCTGGGTCATGGCGTGAAAAAGGAACAAAGATAGTGAAAATGAGTGACTCTAGAGCCCTTCAGGGAGACCTGTATGAGAGGAACAGAGCAGTGGATGCTGTGCACTACAACAGCTGCTGAGTGACTCCTGTCCAAGCAACTACCGTATTCCCTGGAGAGAAAGCCTGGCTGGGTGTCATTTTAAGGAGGGACAAACTGAGTCTGGCACTAGAGAGTAGCCACAGGTTGGCTTCATCTCAAGGCTGCCGGTGTTAAGCTCCCACACTAATTGGATGAGAGGGACAACCACAGGAGATATCCATGCTCAGGGAACTGATCAAGCTGGGCAAAGACACCCAGAGTGTTATAAGCTAAACAACTTAGGCCCTACCCTGACAACCAGAGGCTAGGATCAACCTGAGTTTCTGTGGATTTGGAAGTCTAGGACCAGCATCCTGCCATAATCCTACTGCCAACTTGCTGGTGATTATCCAGCATGAATCTGGGCTTTGCCACCCTTTTCTACCAGGAAGAGCAGAGTCACACCTTGAATTAGACACCCACAAAACTCCATAGACTCCAGAATATAACCACAGGCTTGAAATCACAGAGATTTATTTTTAATTGGGTTTTTTTGTGTCTGAGTATGAACATTGGTTTTAGGTTTTTTTGTTTTGTTTCTGTCTTTGTTTTTTCCTTATTTCCTTCCCTCCTGGCTTCACCAGTTTCCTTTGGCTTGGGTAATCTTCCTTTGTCCTTCAGCCTTGCTTCTAATCTTTTCTTTCATTTCTTTATTCCTCTTTAAAAAAAAAAAACAGGAAATTAGGAAAGACATGGAAACCATGAATCCCCAACATAGAAAAGAACTGGATTCCATAAAACAGATTCATTGAAGTCCAGGAGATTAAAAGTTCTATTGAAAGTATGCAGCAGACTCAACAAATGTGAAGATAGAATATCAGATCAAGAAGACAGGGTTGTGGTTAGCAATCACCAAATGAAAGATGTCTTAATAGCAAGGGACCATGAAAAACAACAGCTTCTAGACATTGTCAAGAATAGTAATATAAATTGAATTTGATGAAAACCCAGAATATAGCACAAAGGGCATAAAATCTGTTCACAGAAGTAATAGAAAACTTTCCAACCAGGGAAAAAATTTGACATACATAAAAGTCAGACATATAGATAGAACTCCAGATAGCCATGGGGGTGGGGGGGACCTACACCAAGGCATGTAATAGTCAAGATTTCCAGAAATTAAATATAAGAATATTAAAAGCTATTAGAGGAAAGAAACGAATCACCTATAAAGGAAAACTTATCAGAATGATAGCATACTTCTCAAACCCTTAAGGAAAGCTTGAAGTGAAGTATTTCAAAATTGATAGAGAAATAAGGTACTTCATGGTAAAGAACACTTGAAAATCCATGACCATCAAAGAAGCACTCTAAGAATTTCTGAAGGATTTTCTAGAAAAAGACAATTTCAAGCATCCCAGTAGAATGAATCCACCAGGCAAGGCAAGCAATTAAATAGAAGGGAAAGAATGGGTACGAATAATAGGAAAATAATCACAAGGATAAATCAGTACCATCAGTTATAACTGATTGATGAATGACTCAGTTCAATCAAAAGAAACATTGGCAGACTCTTATCAAGAAAGATTAACAGTATGCTGCATACAAGAATCATTTAACTCAAAAATTCATAGACTGAAAGTCAAAGGATGAAAAACTACTCCATGCAATAGGAACCATAGAAAAAGCAAGAGTAGCTATTTTATTTGCAGACAGTGGATTTCAAGCCAAGACTGATCAGAAGAGAAAAAGTCACTACATGTTAAGGGTGCAATCCAAGAGGAAGAGATAACAATCATATCCCAAATACCTGTGCACCCAACTATGTAAAACAAATACTAATGGATGTGAAAAATCATAATACAGTTGGGATGGGGGACCTCAGGACCCCCCCCCAAAGTCAAGTAGACAAAACATCAGAGCTGAACCAAGCCTTTGAATAAATGGACTTTGTAGTTTTATAGTGTTCCACCCAACAATATACATTCACAGCTGCACATGGAACCTCCAAAATGAACCACATACTAGCTCATAGAACATGCAAAGGAATTGAAATTATCCCATGGATATTATCAGATCATAGTGCAATGAAACTGGAAATAAATGGCAAATGGAACTACAGAAACACATAGAAATTAACACACTCTTGAAAACCCAGTGGATCACAGATGAAATTAAAGAAGAAATTTGACACTTTCTACAGTTAAATGACAGTGTCAATATGTTGTACTAGAACTTATGGGATACAATTAAAGCAGTCCTATGAGGGAAATTTATAGCAGTGAATTCCCACAGAAAAACAGCAAGCTCAACCTAATGTTGACCCTCAACATTCTAGGAAAAGGAGAGCAAGATAAATCCAAAGCTTATAGGAGGAAGGAAATTTTTAGTTTAGAGCAGAAAGTAATGCAATCAAGACTAAGAAAACAATACAAAGAATGAATCAAAGAGTTGTTTCTTTGGAAGATTAAATAAAATAGACAAACTCTTAGCCAACCTTATTAAAACAAGGAAAGACCCATGCAATTAGGAATGAAAATGACAAAATCACGCTGGGTCCTTCAGAAGTCCAGAAGATCACTAGTTCCTACTTTGAGAACCTGTACTCTAAATGTGATGGAAAATTAAGAAATTGACAGATTAAAACTAAGAAGTGAAGCAAGATATAAAAATTCTAAATCCAATATTAGTCAAAATTGAAATTGTTAAAACTACCACCAAAGAAAAGCTTAGGTCCTGAGAGATTCACTACTGAATTCTACAAGAACTTTAGAGATCTAATGCCCTTACTCTTCAAACGCTAATGAAATCAAAAGGAAAGCCATACTCCCAAACTCATTCCTGGAAGCATTACCCCAATACCAAACTAGAGAAGGATCCATTCAAAAAAGAGAACAACAGGCCAATCTCCTTAATGAAGATAGATGCAAAAATCCTCTATAAAATACTGGCAAACAATGCAGAAAGTCATCAAAATTATACACCATGACCAAGTAGAATTCATCCCAGGGATGCACAAATCAATAAATTTAATACACTACATTAACAGAAATGACAAAAAATGATAAAAACCACATGGTCACCTCAATAGATGCAGAAAAAGCATCTGACAAACTCCAACATCCACTGGAATGAAAACCCCAAGGAAAATTGGAATAGGTCTTAATCTGATAAAAGCATGTATGACAAACAAACAGCCAACATCATATTAAATGGTCAAAAACTGAAAGCTTCTACTCTTTTTTTTTTTGGTACTAGGGATCAAACTCAGGACCTTGTGCTTGTGAGGCAGATGGGAGAACCACTGAGCTAAATCTCCAGCAGCTTCCACTCTAAAATCAGGAACAAGACAAGGACGCCCACTATCCCCACTACTTTTCAGTATAGTTCTGGAATTGTTAACAGGAGCATTAGGCAAGAGAAAGAAAGAAAAGGAATATGTATAGGAAAGGAAGAAGTTCAATTATTATTTGCAGATGACATGATACTCTACATAAACCCCCAAAACAACCTCAGAAGACTCCTAGAATTAAATTCAGTAGCATACCAGCATACAGACTCAACGCTCAAAGATCAATAGCATTTTTGTACATGAATAACAAACTCAGAAATTAAGGAAACCACACCTTTCACAATAGCATCAAGAAACGTGAAATACTTAGGAATCAATCTAAAGGAAGTGAAAAACCTATATATTGAAAACTACAGTACGCTGAAAACAGATAAAAGAGGATATATCAGAAAATGGAAAGATATCCTTCTAGATATGCAGAATCAATATAGTGAAAATGGTCAAACTTCCAAAATTTATATAGATTTAATGCAATCCCAATGAAAATAAAAATAGCATACCTCACAGAACTGGAAAAAACAATCCTAAAATTCATATGGAACCAGAAGAGACCTAGAATAGCAAAAGTAATTCTGGGCAACAAGGGCAAGGCAGAAAACATTGCAGTCCCCAATTTGAAGTTATACTACAAAGCTGCTGTGATAAAAACAGCATGGTACTGGCAAAGACAGACCTGGGGATAATCAAAACAATAAAAGATGCAAAAATAACTCCAAGGACATTCGGCTACCTTATCTTTGACAAAGAGGCCTAATACCTTCACTAGAAGATAACCTCTTCAACAAATGGTGCTGGGAAAACTGACTTTCCACATGCTGAAGACTGAACCTAGACCCATATCTCTCACACTAAACTAAAATTGAAATAGATAAAAAAAATAAATATTAAAATAGAAACAGTCTGCTGGAAGATAGAATAGGTACAACTCTTGGAGACATGGGTGTAGGCAAAGACTTCATGAACAAAACCCCATTTATACAGGAAATAATATAAAGAATTAACAACTGGGATCACATCAAATTAAAAAGGGTTTTTTTGCACAGCAAAAGAAGGAACAGTGAAGAGACAACCTGGAGAATGGGAAAAAATTTTGGCAGCTACTCAGACAAAGGACTAACATGTAGAATATATAAAGAACTAAAAAATCAGATCCCCTCCCTAATTTTAAGGACCTAATCCAAAAATGGGTATCTGAAAGAAGTACAAAAAGCAACTAAATATATGAAAAAATGTTCAACATCACTGGTCATTTGAGAAATGCAAATTAAAACAACAGATTCCATCTCGAGAACGATGACTATCATGAAGAAAACAGTAAGAATGGCTGGCAAGGCTGTGGGTAAAAAGGAATCCCCCATTTTTGTTGGGAATATAAATTGGTATGGAGGGTCCTCAAGAAACTAAAACTAAAGATAGCATTTGATCCAGCTGTGCCCCTCCTAGGTGTCATCCTGAGTTAAAAGCATCATACAATAATGATATATACATACCCAATGTTTATAGCAGCACAACTTATAATACTAAATCTTGGAAACAGCCCAGATGCCCATCAACAAATGAATGGATAAAGAAAATGTGATAGTTATATTGAATGGAGTACTGCTCTGCCATAAATATGGATAAATTTGAGTCATTTTTAGGGAAATTGATGTACTTTGAGACCATAATTTTAAGTGAAATAAGTCAAACACACGTTTTAATTTATGACATTGTTTCTTTTGTATGAGAAACCCAAAGGGTAAACAAGGAGCAAAACAGAGGGTAGATGTTGGGAAGTAGGAAGAACATGTTCAAGGGAAGAGGAATAAGGGGAGGAGGAAGGGGAAGGGAAGAAAGGGAAATGAGACTTTAAAAAGAATGGAAGGGGAAAAATGGAAACAAAGCTTTTGTAAATGGGGAGGGGAACAAGAGTTGAAAAGGAGGGTAGTGGGAAAAAAAGGACATTACTATTATTATTTTTGGTACCGGGGATTGAACTCAGGACCTTGCTCTTAGGCAGGCGCGGTGCCCCCCCTAAAAAGATATATTATGTAAAGTGCAAGTTCCACATGATGAATGTGATCATTATGTATGGCAAATAGGCACTAGTAAAAATAAATAAATACTAAAACTAGAAGTTACATTTGACTCAGCTATTCCCCTCCTAGATATTTTCCCAAGTCATCATACCGTAGTGATTACATGTATACCTGTGTTTATAGCAGCACAATTTATAGTAGCTAAATATTGAAAACATCATATGCTCATCAACATGAATGAATAAAGAAAATTATTTATATATAATGGAATATTACTCTACCACAAAGAAGGATAAACTTGAAACATTTTTAGGTAAATGGATGCATCTTGAGACAATAAATCATAAATCTGCACAAGTTTAAATATCGTATTGTTTCTTTTGTATGAGAAACACAAAGTATAAATAAGGAGCAAAATGGAGGATAGATACTAAGTACTGCATAGATAGATAGTAATCCCAGCACTCTCAAGGCTGAGGCAAGAGGATCACTGTGAGTTCCAGGCTAGCTTGGGCTACATAGTGAGTTCAAGTCCAGCCTGAACTACGTAACAAGACCCTGTCTCAAAAAACAAAAATTACTTCTTCAAAATGGGGGAAGAGAAAGAGAAGAAAGGGAAATGGGATTTAGAGAAAAAAATAGAATTGAAGGGAAAAAATGAAAATACAGCTTTTGTAAATAGGGAGAGGAAGAAGGGTTGGAGGGCAGGGGAGGGAGACAAAGGAATTAAGATGTGTTATGTACATGTACAAATTCCTTGTGATGAATGTGATCATTATGTACTGCAAACATATACTAGTAAAAGTAAATAAATTTTTTTAAAAAAGAGTTGGGCCTTGTGGGAAGTTTTAGGTCATGAGGGATGGGCCGAGGGAACTGTGGTACCCTGATCTGTTTTTCACTCTTATTTCCAGCCATGAGGTGAATGGGTTTTTCCATGACAACAGCCATGAGATGTTCTGCCTTGCTATGGGCAAAGAAGCAATGAGAAAAATTTATAGTGGACTGAAATTCCAAAATCATGAGTCAAAATAGGTCTTTTAAAGTTGATTTTCAGCTGGCCATGGTGGCACACACCTGCAATCCCAGCCCTCCAGAGGCTGAGGCAGGAGGATTGCCATGAGTTCAAGGCCAGCCTGGACTACATAGTGAGACTTTGTCTGAAAAAAAAATTTAAAAATAAAGTTGATTTTCTTAGGGATTTTGTTGTAGTAATAGCTAATACAGTCATGGTCTTCTCTTCTTACTACTGTAAGGACACTTTATCTTTGTACCCCCTGAATCCTAGCGTCTAACCAGTGCCTAATGTATAGGAGTATTCTGTCATTCACAAATACATGCACTCTGCTGGAGCTTTCTCACCACATGAATCTCAGACCCTGAAGAAGCTGGAGGGGCTAGGAGTGTAACTAGTGGTAGAGCACTTGCCTAACACATTCAAGGCCCTGGCTTCATTCTGTAGCACTGAAAAATAAAAATATTGAGGCAGTATTATTACTATATCTCTAAAGGTACAGGGACACATCTTTCCTTTTTCTAAGAAGGCTAGTCTGTAAACAGGCAGTTAGCCCTCACTGTCTTTCTGTCTTTACCCCTTTTGACAAGTCTTTGCCCTACACTCTTCAGCCCACTAGATACAGATGGAAAGAATATTGAGGTTAGGGTTGGATCCCACAGCTGTTTCTAAAACTCTTAAGGGAAGACTGCTCAACACAACTATAGAAAGTTTTGATATTTTAACAGCACATTTAAAAAACTTTTAGGTAATATTTTTAAGTATACTGTAAGGAATTTGCTTTATTGAATTTTTTATTGACAAATCTTAAAACCACTAAAAATAAAAGTTCATTCAATCAATCAGTAGAGTTTATAGCAGAATTATAGTTTTTATTAGTTACCAGTTCATCACCAATTTATATTGACTGTCAGCTTAATAGCTTCAGAAACTGTATTAGAAGCACAAGCATAAGCATTCAGTAAGCAAGGAAAAGATGAAATTGTCTCTGCCATTTTTTCTAGTATATTTGGCATGTTTATCAAAGGAAATTTGATAATGGCACTTTTAAAAATAAAGAACTTACAAGTTTACTGTCTCAAGTTTTATGTGCAATTCCAGAAAATAATGAAGATGTAAGTCTAGTTTTAAAAACTGCATAAATCAATGATACTAACATTAGTCTTACCTAGTAATTATTGGGGTTTATACAGAAAAAAATAAGTGGATGGTACTACCATAAATGTTGACACAGAAAATCATTAGGCAGCTTCAAAACTTGGGTAACAGTAGAGTCTAAACTGAAATACTGATTGCAGGTTTTGTAGGTCCTGCAGACAGATGTGAATTCTGGAGGTGCTTAAATAGCTTCAACGTAGTTGGCTGGGAGCATGCCAGTCCTCCCAGTCCTTTGCACAGTGCCATACATCCAACCTTCATCAATAGCTTGAACATTTACGATAGCATCTCCATCTTTGAAGGACACCTCATCTGCATCTGCAGCCATATAGTCATACACAGCACGAAAGATTTTCTATTTATGGGGATGGAATAAAAAAGGAAATTACATATTGGATTTGTAATCATTAATTTTAAGATCCCTTATGACTTTTTCCACTAATGTAAGTTGCATAAAAGATATGTAACTAACACCAACAAAGTAAAAATGCACAACATAAGGAAATATTTGCATTATCATGTATCTGATAATGACTTAGCATGCAGTATATATAAATAACTCCTATAATTCAGTACCAAAAATAATAAATAAAGCAAAGGATATGAATTGACATTTCTCTAAGAATATACAAATTGTCAATAAGCACATGAAAATATGCTCAACATCAGTAGACATAAGGGAAATGCAAATCAACACATAACAGAATAATGATAATCGTTAAAAAGACAATGACATGTTTTAGAGGCATTGGAGAGAAATTAGAGTTTTCATAAACTGCTGGTGGCTGCTGGGCATGGTGGCACACACCTGTAATCTCAGCACTCAGAAGGTTGAAGCTGGAGGATTGCCACAAGTTCAAGGCCAGCCTAAGGCTACAGAGTGAATTCAAGGCCAGACTGAATTACATAGCGAGACCCTGACTTAACAAAACAAAACGAAACACAACTTATGGTGAGAATATAGTACAGCCACTTTGGAAAATAGTTTGGCATTTATCTCATTAAATCTAGAGTTGCCACCTGACCCAGAAATTCCATTCCTAGATATGTGTATACACAAAAGGAATAAAAACACATCTGCACAATAACTCATATACCCATAGTCACACCAGTATTACAGCTGCCCCAAAGTGGAGACAACCCAGATGCTCACCTACCAACTGATAAAGAAAATGAGGCATATATGCTTACAATGAAGTATTATTTGGTAATAAAAAGAATGAAATACTGATATACAACATGGGTGAACTGCAAAACATTAAGAAAAAGTCACGTATCAAAATTCACATACTGTATGAGTTCATTTATATGAAATGTTCCAAACAGGCAAGTCTATATACATATTAACGAACACCTGGGATTGAATGGAGCACGAAAGGAGAAGCTGAGCATGAAGGAATGCTGATGGGTAGTGTTTTTTACTGTTTATGAAAATATTCTAAGATTATGGTAATGATGGACCAGTTATGTAAATGAAATAAAAGTGAATAATACACTTTAAATTATGAACTTCATACTGTGTTATACATAAAGCAGAGAAAATTGTGCAAATTTTATATGTGGCTGTGCTCTTTTTCTCTAGTTTGTGGAGGTGAAGCTTGTGTTTCAGGAAAGAATTTGAAATCCCATAGCAATATTGCTTGCATGAAAGTTGGTCAGAATCTTGACGGAGTCACTTTTGTCAAGCCATTTCCAAAAAGAAAAAGAAAGCCAGCAGAGTATGAAGGAAAGGTTTTTCAGCACGATTGTTTGATAGTAACTATCACAAAAGACTGCCAGAACCATTGCTTTACACAAAGGCCACTGCAGCCTTACCCAATACTTAGAGGACATCTTTCTAGCAACTGTGTATTCAGCTGTGGACTGGTGTTACCTTTGTTAGTCCTTGTAGCTAAGGACTACTGTTTGAAAATATTTTATGTAATCCCCTTTTTGGCTTTAAAAGATTTCCCTTGCCTCATCTCCTTTGACTACACCCATAATTTGGTATGGTGTGCAAGGTATTGCAGTGCTCTTCTATTTCCAAATACATTATTACTCTTTGGGAAATCCCTCTCTCAGTGTTATTTAGGTTGACACATGTCATCTCTCACTTTGGGAATTTAGAAGCACACGAGTAGTAAAAGTTTCTAAAAGTCATTCAAGACAATGTTGAAAAATAGTAAAACTTTGGAGATATAAATAAGTGAAAATACTCAGTTCCTTCCTAGGAGCAGCCTCTTAGTAGTGGTTTAGAATGTAACCTATACATTTTTTTCTTGCATTCTGAAATATGCACACATACATTTATATTCACAAATAAAAAGTGGAACAGTATTATAAATAGCACTCTGTCCCTTCCTTTCCAGTTAATATAGCTTGGAAGACTTTCAATATAAATAGAAAGTAGTCTTTTTGAGTGCTGCAGAACATTTCACATTTTAGTAATACTACAATTTAGCCATTTCCATTTTTCTGTACTATACTTATCACTATGTTATTTAAACACTATTAATGAGCCATCCTAGTGTTTGACTTTGGGCAAATAATTTGTGAAGAAAACTTTTAAAGGTGAAAGTGTTAGGTTAAATGGTGTGTTTAAATTATTTTTAAGTTTATTACTCTAATATTCAGGGATGATACTTTAATATTGTTTTCCTTTGCATGTTCTGGTTACTGGTCATGGTAAACACTTTTTTATTGGTCATTTTTATTGCCTTTCCCATAATTTGTCTATTCATACTCTTCCAGGTCTTTCTTACTTTGAGAGAATAATTTATCTTTGCATTTGAAGTGTATTTTGATTTTTAAATATTAATCTTTGTTATATGTGCTAAAATATTTTCTCTAAATCTGAGATCTTTCTTTTTGTTAAAAAAAAAACAGTTTTATGGTCAAATCTGTTGGCCTTTATCTTTACACTTCTAGATTTTTCACTTTACTTAAGAAGACTTTCCTTCATTTGTAATGTCATTAAAGTATTCTCTTTTTCTCGAGTATTTTTACAATTTTGTTTTTCATATTTGTATATTTGGTATAGCTTCCATTTAAGTATGATTTGAGAGGAGTATCTGATTTTCTTTTTTTTTTTTTGGTACCAGAGATCGAACTCGTGTCTTTGCACTTGCACAGCAGGCAGCGAAACCACTGAGCTAAATCCCCAGCCCAAGGAGTATCTGATTTTATTATTTTATAGCCTAGTTATCCCAAGATCATATAACTAAATAACTCATCCCCTTCCCCTGATTTGTAGTTATTTTAGAGTCTATTTCTGAATTTCATCTATTTTTGTATCTTAATGCCAAATTCTTATAGTATGTTTTGTTCTTTTATGGTTAAGTTCTTTACAATTATCATTTTCAAAATTTACTGTATTATTCTTGTATCTTTATTCTTTCAAATAAATTTTAGAATTAGCATATAAACTTTTTAAAAACCCTACTGGGAATTTGATGGAAATAACCTGATATAATTCATTTATTTCAGGAGAAATGACAAATTTACAACATTCCCTTCCTGAAATATGGTGGCATCAACATATATATAGATCTTCTTTAATGTCCTTTATTGAAGATCATTGTCTTCATACAAATGTTACTCATTTCAATCCTAAAGTATTACATTTTGGTGACACAGTATGAATGAGACTTAGGTTTTTTTCTTTTGGTACTGGGGATCGAACTCGGGACCTTGTCCTTGCGCGGCAGACAGCAGAACCACTGAGCTAAATCCCTGGCTGGAGACCTAGGTTTTAAAATAAGAATTTTAAAGTAGCCTAGTAAAGTGTGAATATGATTTGGCTTACCTTTTCATTACATATTAATAGGGGAGATCTAATATATGACATACAAGTATGCATATCTGAATATGTATATACATTATTGAAAAATTACGTGCGTAAAACTAATGAGTCCAAACTAATACTTTGCTCTAGTTTTTAAAAAAATCTCTGAAAAATCCTTTTCATTATTTTGCATTTGGGTGGTAATTCAGGTTTTCTGATATTGACTTCTACTACATGAAATGTGTAGTAGAACATTGTATATACAATTTTGTTTTTTAAAAAGACACGAAGGCCAGACTACTTATAATCATTTTTGCACATAACAAAAAGCAAGAATGATTTGAGTAGTATGTTTATTGTTTACTTACTCCAGCAGTAGATGGATGAGATGGGATAGAAGATAATGTTGTCTGTTGGGTGGCAACTGAAGATGATCTTTGTTGTGGCAGCTCTGTGGTTTTTACATGTTTGTAAGCTGCAGAGAAGGAAAGAATAGTTTATAAAAAGACAAAAGTGTGCAGACATTTACTCTTTGTTTAGTAGTTGAGCAATAGTGTCTTTCAATTTCGCGATTTCTGAAAAGGGATAATCTAATTGAAAATTACACATCTAACTTCACTAAAATCTCCACAATTCTAGTTTCTTATCAGAAGATCAAAAAAAAATTTTAAAATCCAAGTATTTCTTAGTAACAGTGAACTGACTAGGCATGATTGCCAAAGTCAGCACCATCTACTTGTACCTGTTGAAGTTGTAGAGAAAAAGGCGCCTCCATCACTGTAGGTGGAGAGGTGCTGGTCAGCAGCTTCTGAGTGCTCAGACTTCTCCTCCCCACCACTGATACTCAGTGCACTGGCAGATCGTGACTGCTCCCGGCTCCGGCGCTGAGCTTGGACTGGTAGAAGTGTGATTGGGAGAGATGTAGCAGAGATGAAAGTCCTATAGTTCTATGATAGTAATTCCTAACAGCAACTGAGTCTGGGTTGTTGTTGGTGTGTGTGTGTTGTTGGTGATGGTTTGGTGTGTATGTATGTGTATGTGTATTTAACCAAGAATAGTTTTAAATAGTTTTCTATGGATTAAACCCTCACAACTCTATTGTTGTTAGTATTAGTATTTTTGAAAGGGCGGTCTTGCTGTGTTACCCAGGCTGACCTCAAACTTGAGATCCTCCCACCTTAGCCTCCTGAGTAGCTGGGATTAGAGGCATGTGCCACCATGCCCAGTTCCCTTACCACTCTTCTGATGTATAGTTGTCATCTTTATTTTACAGATGAGAGCCAAAAGTCATGTAACAGTTAAGTGGTACAGTCAGATTTCAAATCCAAGAATCTGTTCTTAACTATTACTCCTCTTCACAAGTTTGCCTATTTTCCTGGCTCACCAAAATAAATAGATAGTAATCACATTCAAATTTCATCTTCAACTTTTCCAGCGAATAATCCCTAACTTCCAGATTGACTGAGATGCTTTCTCTGTGTTCCTGTAACACTGGGCAGATCTTTAAAATTGTGCATATCAGCATACATATAACAGGATTTATTAGTTTCTCTTCATCATTAAACTAGAGTATAAATCCTTTAAGGAATGGCACCACATATTATTCTGTTTTCTAACATGAACAGAAAGCATAAAGATATGGAGCTGTTCTGGTGAATGAATAATCTTCCTTGACACAGAAGAGTCCAGAAAAGTACGTAAGGGTCAAATCTATTCCCTTCTTTTTGCCTAAGTGTTTTATTGTCATCATTTCTCCATAGGAATGCTAGTAACAGGGCCTGAAGGAGACATGAACTAAGGCAATGAATCAAACTCTTTTCCTAACTTGGACTTGTCTAGAAAATCTTTTTTTTTTTTTGGTACGGGGGGTTGAACTTGGGACCTTGCGCTTGCAAGAAAGAATCTGCATTCTTTTTTTTTTTTTTTGGTACTGGGGATTGAACTCAGGACCTTGGGACTGAGAGGCAGGCAGCAGACCCACTGGCCTAAATCCCCGGCCCTAGAAAAATCTTTTCTTAACTTGACTATTCAATGGGTAACTCAGAAAATTAAAAATCCTGAGCCAGGCATGGCATCACATGCCTGTAATTCCAGCTACTTGGAGGCTAAGGCAGGAGGATTGCAAGTTCCAGACTAGTCCAGGCAATTTAGCGAGATCCTGAGTCAAAAGCAAAATATAAAAAGGTTGACAGTGTAGCTTAGAGTCCCCCGTGTTCAATTTTCAATACCACAAGAAACAAAACAAAACCTCTTAAGGGAAGGAACTTTAGAACCTAAAAGTCAGTGACTACCTCACTAAATGGAGATGTGAATGGTGTAAGCCTTTTGTTGTTGTTGTTTGGTACCAGGGATCGAACTCAGGACCTTGCACTTGTGAGGCAGGCGGTGGAACCACTGAGCTAAAAATCCCCAGCCCTTGTAAGCCTTTTGTGGTATAACATACCATTAATCATGTGTAAGCTTCGGGACTGAATATTGTCTTCCGCTGGATCATAGTCAAAAACTGAACCAGGATTAGTACGCCAGACACGTAAACCTGAAAGAAATACTGGTGATCAGAGCAGATGTTCTTGCACACTTTCAGCAACTTGAAAACCAAAGCATGAATTTAAACAACTACAGGAGGATTGACTCACTCTTACTCAATTTAGGTTTGGGTCCGGAAGAGGAGATGTTTAAAAATACAGCAAAAGGGGCCGGGGATTTAGCTCAGTGGTTTCGCCTCCTGCTGCGCAAGCGCAAGGACCAGAGTTCAATCCCCGGTACCAAAAAAACCCCCAAAAAACAAAAAAAAAAACCCAGCAAAAGAGACCTCAGTTTTGCAAACTATGAGATAATAAAGGCTTTCTTTCACAAACAATGAAAGACAGACTGAGATCCTTTGTACTCTGACTTGCTGTACTGAATGTCACTTTTGTGCTCAGTTACCTGTAACAGTCTCCTGGTCCTGGTCATTCCGCTTTTGTTCCATTTCTACCACTTTTCTCTGAATACCTCGGTAGTTAATGTCACTGAAGTCCTGTGTGTTCTTTTTTACTCGTTCAGTGATAGGATCTGTCACCACTGGTGTGAAGCAACCTTTGTGCTTTTCAAAGTCTTCATGGTATTTCACCTGAAATGTCATGAATTTGCTTGATAAAAATAGGATGGTGTGACCATTTTTCTTTTCACATGTTCTAAAAGGCTAGCCATCCGACCCTAAAGAATTCCTGACTCACCGTTGAGATATGCCGTTGGGTTTCCCTCACACGTCTCATCTCAGGGGTATCTAAGACATAGGCAGCTTTGCCTTGTATTTGTTTCCTGAAGCTGTCAGAATAAAGAACCTATGGAGGAGAGAACATGAATGAGTCCAGAACATGGTGGTGTCCTCCTGCTGAAGGCCTAGAGCCTTTCCAATAGATGGAGATAAGGGAAGCTGGTGAGGGAAACTGGAGTCAGCTGACAGGGCCCAAAGAGACATGTGACTAGCAGTGGACCAGGTTAACATGAGGATGAGAAGGGCTGGCATCAGAAAAGAAAGGACTTGTTTTGACTTTGAAAATGGAATGCTTATTTTCAAAGAAGGGGCATAGTATAATTTTGAAAAAGAAATACCCTCTTGAATTTTCTAGAAATTGTCGCACCAGCACTGGTATGTTTGATGATATTTGGCACTAAATCTGATACTCAATGAGAGTTGAAAGAACTATCCTTTAAAACAAATAATCACTGCTCTTAGGTAATGTCCACATTGCATAAACCAATATGCTAATATAGAAATCCAAGTCCTCTCAACAGTAAAAACCCAAAATAACAAAGCCAGCAAATAACATCTATTTCCAAGTATTACCCATTTCATAAAGTACCTTAAAAATAATGGAGATCAGAAGATTGAGAATGTTAGGGAGTCAATTTGTTATAGTTGGTTATGAAAAACTACCTCAGAGTAAAGAAAAAGAGGAGGAAAAACATTAGCAATTAACTTATATTTTAGTATGATCATTTGGAATTGAAAAGCATAGTTGTGTTAATTTTAGTGTAAATTTTCAGTTGAAGAAGGTGCACATAAATTATATGGTGTTAAAACGTTATTTTCCAAAATGTTGCATTTCTCTCTTTTTAAATTTTAGTGTGTTTTTCAGATGAATGCGAAAGACATGTTTTCATGATGTTAAAATGTTATTTTCCAGGTTGTTGCACTACTCCTCTTTAATCCTAGAAAATACCGAGCTAATGTTTTCTTGGTTTCGCTTAGCTCTCTCCATCTCTGGAGTAACAGGTGTTGAAGTTGCTTTTCTCATATTTTCTTTGTACAATACCTAGGGGAGCCAAGAGAGCATCCAGACATCAGAGGGAAGAAAACCAGTTCTGAAAATTCATCATTTCATTAGTGTTATGGCTCAGTTATAGCACACTCTTAAACACCTCAGGAAGAGAAAGCCATTCAAATGTTATGGTAGAAAGCAGAAGATAAGAAGTAAAAACTGTGAGCTAGTGGGACTGGTGTATTGTTTTTTAAGTGGATAAGGAAGAATTTTAAAAAATACAAAGAATTTTGGAAACACTGTGAGATAAATTAGTGGTATAACCATGATGGCCAATCTTGTTAAAATTTTAATGACTTATTTTCCCTGTTTGAAATACCGAGCTAAAATTTTCTTGATTGCGTTTGACTCTTTCCATCTCAGGAGTAAAGGGTGTGGGGGTTGCTTTCCCCATGTTCTCTTTGTATAGCACCTGTGAGATACAAAGTTGTACCCAAAAATCACTGAGAGGCAATATTCACTACTAAATATAATGCAGGGGAGGGGAAACACTAAGTATAATCTATTACTATTAGTGAGAATAGCTTTTAAGAAGAAACCTTTAAAAAATGGTCAATGGCAATAGTAAATGTAGTACGATATTTCAAGGAGCTTCAAATGTAAGTGGTATCTTTTTTAACTTTGGGTGGGGTTAGGAGCAGGCAAAACTGCAGGGGTTATTTTGTAAAATTAAAAGCATTTTCATTTCTCAAAGACAATACCGAGCTAATGTTTTCTTGATTGCGTTTGACTCTTTGCATCTCTGGAGTGACTGGGGTTGGGGTCGCTTTCCCCACATTTTCTTTGTACAAAACCTATGCGAGTCCAATGGATTCAAAAAGAGGAGGGAAAAGACAGTTACCAAAACAAGAAATGGAACAGATAACCTTTGATGAGGCACCAACCATTTAGGCAATAAGGTTATATTACAAGTTAGATATTTGCAAACGAAGTCATAGCAAGACACATTTCCAAGGTAGGAACCTGCCCTGAAGTTTTTGCAGATTACAAGAGAGAGCTGTCATATTCTCAGAAAGGAGACAGGACCACCATCATTTTACCACTAGTAAATCGAAGTCAAGCCCCCACAGAGCATCTAAACAGGACTTACAGGAAAGGGTTTAAATGACACTGAGGATGAAGCTGCTCCAATACAGCAGCTAGTTAGTGGACCTTTTTGTAGCACTTAAACTATTATAGACCTGTAAAACTATAGATCCTGAGATAAGGCAAAGAGTTTCTCCTACTCTTTTTTTTTTCCTTTCTATTCTTTGTCCTATGTCTCTTGCATTTGTTTAGTACATCACACTTAACCATTAAGAACATCACAATCATGGCAAATAAATAGGAAGCATAGTAAATGCATCATGATAAATCCTCAATCTCAATGTTTCCCTCTATAGGAAACCTGGGAGGTTTGGAAAAATGCCACTTAAAAGAAATAATTCTGTTCCAGCAGTGGTTCTCAAAGCAGAGTCCCTGGATAGTCATGTCTGTGCCATCTGAAAACTTATGAGAATTCTCTGGCCCTGCAGAGACATATAGAAAAGTGAACCTGGGGGGCAGGGCCCAGAAATCTTATTTAACAAACCCTCTATCAGTGACGATGAACCTTTTAGAGCTTTCAATGATACAAACGGTCTGCTGCAGCACATGTGCCATAGGCTTGCCACGCTGCTTGTATACTGTTTTAAAAGGACTCAACGACTAGAGAAAACTGCAGGCAGTTTTAGGCAAATGCTGAGACAACAACACAAAGTTGTTCACTGCTGAAATCAAAAGGTCCCACACAAACCTCAACTGCTCAAATTTGTAGACTTCTATATGATCGCAGAGCCACACTTACAGGAAATGGTTTACTAAAGTTATCATTTAAAGACCATGAAAAAGATTAAAAAAAATAAAGATTGGTAACATAAAAGGCCTCTCTGTGCCACTTTCCTATTAAATTGACAACTGCCAAAATCACTACTGGTTAATTTATATCATTAACCTTGAAGGAAGGAATCAGGAGTGATTTTCACCAAAATCTCTTTGTCTAAATCTGACAGGGTAGGGTTGGCTGGGGATGTAGTTCAGTGTCGGAGTGCATGCTTAGCATATGTGAGACCCTGGGCTCAATCCTTGACACCACTAAAAGAAAAACTAAATCTGATAGGGTAAATTAGAACCTAAAGTCATCAACACAAAAATGCAATGAAGTCATGATTCTAATATTTAATAAAGAGTCTGATTATACTTACTATCCCAACCCACACTGGCCTACCCCAAATTTCATGAGTATGTGAAGCAAAGAGACCTTGGGTATAGTGGAGAGTAAGTTTGAGGAAAGATGAGCAAAATAATGTAGGTAATGTTATTTCTTGATATTAGAACTTTATAAATTATGGATTAAAGCAATTTTCTTATTAGAAGGTTAAGGCTAGGACTAGTCCTACAGGAAAAGAGATAAATGTGGTAAAGAAATTCACAAAATTTAAGTTGTCTTTAAAAAGTAGAATTAATGTGAATTATTTAAAATCATTAAAGTATTTTTTAAAAATCATTAAGAAAGTATTATTTTTTTCTTTTCTTGCCAGAGTACCGAGCTAATATTTTCTTGATTGTGTTTGACTCTCTCCATCTCTGGAGTGACAGGTAAAGGGGTTCCCTTGCCCATGTTTTCCTTGTATAGCACCTGTGTGATGAGAAAGCATCAGAGAAACAGCCATAAGTGACATTACATTTGTCGTGAGGTTCTAAAGGTGAGGTCAATTTTCTTGCACAAAATGGCACAATAGTCCAAGGAGTCAGAAGTTACATGCTGACAAGATGCCATATGTTATTTAATGGGAGCTGTGACTGGGGAATCCGCACCCTCTATGGAAGCAAAGACCTCAGCTGCTGGGTTACTGGAGTTATCCTCGTTATTTTTTTTTTCATTTCTATAAGCATGATGACTCCTAGACAATGTCAAGGATTTGAGATGGTTAGAACTTGGTTTTGTTATCCACACAAACTAAAACACTCATTTCTTTTTTAGAAATTTTCAGATGAAGTAAAAGTCAAAATTAACTGTGTTACAGAAACAAGAAAGTTTGTCCTTGTGAAAGGTAAGATACATTAGAAGCAAAGGAAGGGAAGACAGCTTTATAAAAAAAATTAAAGATTTGTTTAATTCTGAAGTTAAATGGCATCTTTTCCCCCCTTCTTTCCAAAATACCGAGCTAATATTTTCTTGATTGTGTTTGACTCTCTCCATCTCTGGAGTGACAGGTAAAGGGGTTCCCTTGCCCATGTTTTCCTTGTATAGGACCTGTGTGATGAGAAAGCATCAGAGAAACAGCCATAAGTGACATTACATTTGTCGTGAGGTTCTAAAGGTGAGGTCAATTTCCTTGCGCAAAATGGCACAGTAGTCCAAGGAGTCAGAAGTTACATGCTGACAAGATGCCATATGTTATTTAATGGGAGCTGTGACTGGATGAGGGAGTGAGCACCCTCTATGGAAGCAAGGATCTCAGCTGCTGGGTTACTGGAGTTATCCTCATTGTTATTATTTTTTTCATTTCTATAAGCATGGTGACTCCTAAACAATCCTAGGGATTTGAGACAGTCACAACTTGGTTTTGTTATCCACACAAACTAAAACACTCATTTCTTTTTTAGAAATTTTCAGATGAAGCAAAAATCAAAATTAACTGTATTATAGAAACAAGAAAGTTTGTCCTCGTGAAAGGTAAGATACATTAGAAGCAAAGGAAGGGAAGAGGGCTTAAAAAAGAAAAAGAATAAGTATGAGGATCTGTTTAATTCTGAGGTTAAATGGCATCTTTCCCCCCTTCTTTCCAAAATACCGAGCTAATATTTTCTTGATTGTGTTTGATTCTCTGCATCTCAGGAGTGATGGGGATTGGAATTCCTGTCCCCAGGTTTTCTTTGTATAGCACCTGTATGATAAGAAAGCATTCAGAATGAGAAGAGCAGTCGGTTGGTCACAGTCCCCTTTTGGACCAGTTGGGAATGGGAGGAGAGGAAGAAAGAGAACAAGTTAGAGGAAGGGAGATACCAGATTTTAGGTTCATCCTGTATAAGCCCAAAGACAAAAGCAAAATAATGCAGGAAAGAGCAAGACTAAGAAATAGGAAAAGAAAATTTGTTATTTTTATTATTTGAACTAATCTCCATAGCACTGAACGATGAAGAACTCCATAAAAAGGAGAAATTAGTCCTCAGAAATTAGTCCTCCTTGTTATATGACGGGGGAAAATACAAACAGACAAGAGGCAGGAACAAAACCAAGGAAGTTATTTTTGATTTGGAAATGCTATTAATAAACCATATAAAATATTTGGATATTTTGTAAATATTATATATACAAAGATACATACATACAATCTTCTTTTGTTGACTTTCAAATGAAGTCAAAGTATTTTTAGTTTGGGTAAACATATTAGGAATAATGATTTTTAATCCAAATAGAGAACAATGGCAAGATGCTAAAAAAGGAAACTTCAATATATCTGTACAAGTAGCAACAGAGACAGAGATGGTTAGAACAGGAAATGAGACCAATGGTCAGGCCAACAGAATAGGTATTTTAAAGCTATACATTGAGATCAAATTTGCCAAAGCAAAGTAAATGTGTACACTTAGACACTGAGAATGTTATGTTTTTAAAAGCTGGAGTATAATATTGAACACTTTAAAAAATTAAGTCAAATTATTATATTGTTTAACTAAAATAGGGAAACTGATTTACAGGAAATGTCATTGAACTGGAAACAAGACGGGTCAAAAATTTTATTGGGATAAGTTGATTAGACTTTTAAAACCTAGCCATTAATCTTTTTAAAGCGTTTTAAAAGTAGTTAAAAGGATTTTCTTTTAAATTTTAAATACCGAACTAAAATTTTCTTGATTGTGTTTGACTCTCTCCATCTCTGGAGTGATGGGGAGCGGAATCCCTTTTCCGAGGTTCTCTTTATACAACACCTGTATAACACAAAGAAAGCATCTGGAAAAAACACGAGCAGTCAAAACAGCCCCTTTGTCTATCTTGTGGGGAAACTAGTTAGAGACTAGTCATCGAGAAAGATTCACCAAGTCCACCACTCTGTGCGGGTACAGATTCAGGTGAGAACATGATAAGTGGCAGTCTATATGGATGTTTGTCTTTTTACTAACCTTCCTAGAAATATTTATTGCCTATGTCAGGAATTAAGGGAAAAATACAAATAGTTTTATAACAGTACTAAAATGCTCTGTGTATAACAGAAAAAACTCTTTTAAAATCAGATCAGCAAATATTTTTCCTACTCAGAATGTTTGTCTTACAATATAACAGATATTTAAAACTCCAGACCAAATCTATGCACTATGGAAAAATTGGCCTTTGCTGAGATTGCAGACATAGTAAGGTTTAAAAGCCAATGTTTTAATATATGGCATTGCCCACAGTATCTAAAATGCCTGTGCACCACTGGACAGTATTGCCTAATGCAAGCTGTATAACAATTAACACAAATGGTTACTTAAACAAGAAATAAAAAGTTGTCCAGAACCATCTGGGTTATTATTTTCAAATAGATTCAAGCAATAATGTACTTACTCTCATACAGAAGGAAATAATTAAAACTTAATATTACAACTGATGCAGGTCTTTCAAAAAAGGAATCATCATCATCATCATCATCATCGTCATCATCATCATCATCCCAGAGGGACAAAAGTGAATAAAACATTCCAAATGACATAATAACTTAATAATAAATATCTAACAAAAATTGAAAGGTTGTTAGAGAATAGTAAGTAAAAACAAGACAAAACGAAGACAGAGGGACCAAGGGAAGTCACTGTTCTAATGATGTGAAAGAATCAGACTTTAGAGAATATTTAAAATGACAAAAGCACTTTAGATTACTCTTCCACCTCTAAAAGTAAATCCAAATCGTGACATTTTATTTTCCATCTCAGGGATAAGTTAACCTAAGGTCTTTATAGAGAAATATCACAGACTATATGGGTATCATAGAGGTTTCCAGGAACAATTAATAGAAGAGAAAATAACGTTAAAGATAAATACATGATCTGCTTTGCATATTTTTTTAAAAGTCAGAAGACTTGGATTTCTATTTGTGAATTACTTATACAGGACAAATGTCAAAATAGGAGTACTCTGGGTCCCATTATTGAGTAATTTTCTAGTTATTGTTTATTTGAATAGGATCTATGTTAAAGGGGCACCTGTTCCCAAGCAAGAGCCGGTAGTTTTACATGTGGGCTTGAGATCTGTATTTTTCTTGCAACACTAACCTCAGAACATCAGATAAAAAAGTTCCAAGTAAACAAGAACTTCAATGTTTGGGTTGTTTTTGGAAATCAGTTAACTTCAAAAGTCCCAACAGTAACATAAAGATAAGAAGAGAAGGAAAGGAATCAATTAAAACTTTTAGGGACAATTATAGAAAGTATAAAACATTAGGTCAAATGGTAAGTAAAATATTCAGAAAACAGAATACAGTTGGTGAGATTTTTTTAAAATATTAAATTGGTTATTATAAAGGGTCAAATAGATGTTTTGTTTCATAGAAATTATTATTTTTAATATGGAATTAAAAGGAACTTTTCCCCAAATACCGAGCTAAAGTTTTCTTGATTGCGTTTGACTCGCTCCATCTCAGGAGTGACAGGAAGGGGGTTCCCCTTGCTCACATTGTCTTTGTACAATATCTGTGTGCACAAAACCAACAATCAAATCAGCCTGTACCTATTGCTTAGGTAGACTTGATCTTTAAAACTCTGTAAGAAGTATTTTTGTTTTTACAATGAAGTAAAACAGACATAACTTTAAAACACAGAGCAAGTATAGCCCACCTGTGGACATTTAGTCACACACAGTTCACTATCAGTCTCTGAGTAGCATCGGTGTGTACACAGTGCCAGCCTGCAGGCAGGACTGGCTTGACTTACATATGCTTTCTCTCAAAGACAGAAAGATCAGGCCTTGTCAAATAGCATTTAAGCTGATGGAAATTAACATCTGTAGTGAATTGTTGGTAACACTAAATTAGAATAAATAAGTTTGAGGAAACTAAATAAATATTAGCTTAGTTTTCTATGATCCTGAATATATCCCACAGGAAAGCTCTTTTATATCTTGCATGGTATACAAAAAAAAAGTAGCTAAGAAAAGTAAGTTTGTATTGCTGAGTTACTGTGAATTGCTAGTTGTCTTTGAATGAAAATATTTTAGCATCATAGTTTTTAAAGAAAAGCTGCAAACACAAAGAATACAAATAGCCACAGTAAATACAAATAAAATTCTAATTAGCATTGTCCTTTGAAGAGGTGTTAGATTTTACTTTTGACTTGGGCCACACCATTAGAAACACCTATCGTTATTCAAATGGGATTGGAGGAAGGAAACATTGAGTATTAACAGATTTTTAAGGGAAATGATAAATACCTACATTTTAGAGAAAATGGTTAAAATTTCACATCAGAACTAGGTAAATACTAAATTAGATTGGGGTGAAAACAGGTAATATTTGGTATCATTCCTTTCATTATATGAATTTAGTAATTTTACATTTATAATGTGTTAAAAATATTAAATATTATTTTAATAAGAACAAAGGGATTTTTTTTGGTCTCCTAAGAAATACCGAGCTAAAGTTCTCCTGATTGCGTTTGACTCTCTCCATCTCTGGAGTGATAGCTGTGGGAGTTCCTTTCCCCAAATTTTCTTTGTACAAAACCTGTGAGATACAAGAAAGTACCCAGAAGACATTCAAAACAAGTGCAAAAGCTGAAGAAGGGAGAGAATTGAGTGTAGGTATGGAAGGAGTTTTTTAGTAAGTAATATTTAGTAAGGATAATGCTTTTGGTTTTGTACGTCACAATTTTAAGATGAACTCTACAATGCTAATTCTGGGAATAGGAAAGTACAACAGACAGCACTGAGTTATAAGATGTGAGTATACTGATGAGGACCTTGTGTTAATGCTACTTGCAGTATTTCAGGTCTAAGTATTCGCTAGTCAGTGGCTGACAATGTTAAAGTGCAATCAGAATGGGTCATTCTGTATTAAATCAGTTGGTTTGGGTCAGATAATACACACACACACACACACACACACACAGACACAAACACAAGAATTTGTTGTTAAGATGTTACTTGTGAAAAAAGAATGATGGGTTATTCTGGTAGATTTTTAAAATGGGAAATAGTTCTTATTGATATATTTGTAAATACCGAGCTAAAGTTCTCTTGATTGCGTCTGACTCTTTCAATCTCTGGAGTAACAGTGGTTGGAATGCCTGTTCCCAAGTTTTCTTTGTACATAACCTGTAGAAAAATAATTAGAATGCCCAGAAGGCAAAATAATCATGAATTCTTTAGATTTATAGCCACATGTAAGCTATTTGGTGAGTACTCATTAAAAACAATCTAGCTTTCAAATATGACACTCAAGGACTAAAGAAAATAAATTCCATAGATATTTATGTTTTCTTCAAAGTAGTCATTTTGCCACCTTGAAAACTGGGCACTAAATTGCATTTTCTATAGCCAATATTTACTGCATTCCTAAGATGCACTAAACAGAGATAATAAATGTAACGGTGTACCTACTGTTAGTGCCTTGAGTATAATAGATTTGTACTCAATAAATAGGTTGGTTTTTTTTTTTCCGGTACCAGGGATCGAACTTAGGACCTTGGGTTTGTGAGGCAGGTGCGGTGCCACTGAGCTAAATCCCCAGCCCTAAGTTGTTTTATGATTCTCTCATCATGCATATGTTTTTTGAGACAGTGTCTTGCTATATAGTTCGGGCTGGATTTGAACTCACTGTGTAGCCCAGGCTGGCCTCCAACTCTTGGCAATCCTCCTGTCTCAGCCTCCCAAGTGCCAGAATTATAGGCATGCCCACCATACCCAGCTTTTTTTTTGTTTTTTAAACAGGGAGAAATCCATATTTTTAGGTGGTAGGATCAAAGGACTATAAATTTTAATGAAAAGAATAAGGAGCTTCCACTTTCTGAGCCATTTGGCTCCTTCCCCCTTAATGTTAAAAGCTTTCAGCTAAAGGAATGAATGACTTCATTTTTTAAATAAGTAGATTCTATAGTATACTAGTGCATAGGGTAGGGAGCAAGGGGAAAAGTCTACGGGGTTGTGTCACAGATTAATTCCTAGATTCAGCAATAAGCGAGCAGTGTGACATCTTTGTTTTGCTAGGAAATTTTTAGGAATCTTTGAAAATCTACCATCGGGGTAACAAAGTCATGTTTCTTTGGCCTTTACCAAACAAGGAAGCAGGACTGTATTGAGCAACGGAACAAAATCCAAGAAAGGCAAGAAGTTGCAATTCAGAACAACACAGGAACCATGGGCTAATTTTCTCAGATTAGTGGACATAAAATTTGAAATGGATTCGTACCAAAAGAAGCCAAAGTATATGTAGGGAGTGAACCAGAAATGAGATCTGAATAATATGACTGAAGTTTCTTATCTACTTTTGCAACCTTTAGTGTATTCCTTCAGGACCAAGGGAGGATTCACAATATCCCCAAGGCATGTGAGGCCCTGGGCAGAGGAAGTAGGGCAGGAGCTGACAGGAGGCCAGCCACACAGATGCATGCTGGGAGTATGAGCCACTACCGAGCTGATGTGCTTCTGGGTCTGCTTGACACGCTTCACTTCAGGCAGGTCAGGGATTGGAGTTCCTTGTCCAATTACTTCTTTATACTTCACCTATATAAAAATGAGAAAGGAAAGCAATTCTTACATGCTGGGCAGTCATTCTTTTCAACATGTACATGTATTTGGTTCGTGACCCTACAGTTTTTGTGCATGCGCACTGAAGACTGAACCTGGGCACTTGTGCATGCTGAGCAATCTACCAGCGCCTCTACAATTTTTAAAGCTAGAATTTAAATACTATGAGCTCTATACTTAGTTTGGATGGGGCCACATTCTGATATTGGGTCAGAGGGGAACAATTCTGAGGAGAGGGAACATTGATTTCTTTGGGGGCAGGAGCAGAGTTCCCTGCTTTATTCTTGGGGGATACATTCCAAGACCCCCAAGTGAATGCCTAAAACTATGGATAGTACCAAACTCTATATACTATATTTTTCCTATACACACAGGCAAATTTATTGCTATTTTTATCTTAATTAAGTACTTATGCACAGTGGCCTTCCTTATCTTTTGCTCTTTGAGATGTGATAACAAAATTATTATTATTATTCTTTTTTTTTTTTTTTTTTTTGGTACTGGGGATCGAACTCGGGTCCTTGCTGCTTGCGCAGCAGGTGGTGAAACCACTGAGCTAAATCCCCAGCCCGAACATGAGTTTGTTTTTAAAACAGAGACTCACTATGTTGTCCAGGCTGGTCTCAAACTCATGGGCTCAAGTGATCCTCCTGCCTCAGCCTCATAAATAGCTGGGATTACAGGTTCACACAACCATGCCTGGCTACCATGGATTTCTTTTTCCTTCTTCACAAGTTCACAGACAGAAGATTCATTCTACTATAGGTCATGACAACCTCAGCATATGAGTTTTTCAATTTCTTAAGAACTTTCACCTTTTCACTTAAAGGAAGTTCATTATAACTTCTCTTTTGCACATGAAAATTACTAGTTTCACTACTCTTACACTTAGGGCCATCAAGTAAAATAAAGATTACTTGAACACAATCACTGCCATACAAAGACAGTTGGTCTCATAATGGAGACAGCTAGTGAGGGAAGGTGGTAAATATTCTGGACAAAGGGGTGATTTGTGGTCCAGATGGGAAGCCACAAGATTTCATCATGCCACTCAGAATGATGCACAATTTAAAACTTATGGTTTATTTCTGGATTTTTCCATTGAATATTTTTGGAGCAGGGTTGAGTGAAGAGTAACTGAAACCAGAGAAAGGGAAACTGGATGAGAAGTCTACCATACTCCAGAGATTCTATACCCAACACTTCCTTTGGCTAGGGCAGATATGTTTATATAAATGAGAAGTTCAACTCTGACTAACATATTCTATTTTCTCACAAGCCTCTGCTTTCCATGTCTCATCTTTCATGAAAACACCACAGAACTGCACTGAGTATGAGATGACCAACCATTGGCACATAGGAAGTGGTGATGGTGGTACACAGTCACTTGTTTTAGAATATTAGCTGTTTCTAGTGACAAAGGTTTTCAGGGCAACTCAAAGGACATTGTAAATTATCAAAGGAAGGTAGGAAATACTGAATCTACTGTATCTTTACCGAGCTAATGTGGTCTTGTGTTTTCTTCACTCTCATCATCTCAGGTGTCTTCCCAATTGCTGTTCCTGGTGAGACATCCTCTTTATACAAAACCTGGGCATTCAGAATCAGGAGAATGTTACACAGAAGAAAGAAAACTCTAGCAATTCCTGGAGAAAGACTAGGACACAAAGCTTCTGTGAAAACGAGACACTAGATGGTGTTCCCAGGCAAAAGCTGGAGAATTGCATCTGAGATCTTCTCCATCATACACCAAACATATACCACCAAATCACTTTCAGACCTTGAGATATCTTTGAAGATTATCATGCCATATTAACACAGGAAAAAAAAACAGAACATGTTGATTAACAACAATAAAACCCCTCACATATGAAACACAAAATCGATTTAAAAATGCAGTTAGTTATTTTGGGGAGATATAAAAAAAGAAATCACAAAGTCAAAAAGAAATACATCTTCTTGGAGCAAGACAACACATGTTACTGCTCTGAGATTAAAGAATTTATAAAAGAAAGAAGTTACTTTGTTAGATTTAAGTTGTTATTTCAGATGGTCTCTGGAGTGATGAAATTGGAGTAAAGTATGGGTCATTTTAACAAATAACCAGTAGTATTAACTGTGAAGGTTAAATGTTAATTATCTCTATCAATGTGAAGCTAGTATTTTTTATAGGAGGAGAATGGAATTATTAGGTTAGCATTAGATGGAAAATAAATAATAAATATACCGAGCTGAAATTCTTTTGATTTTCTTTAACACGCAGTATTTCTGGCGTGTCTTGAACAACTGTAATTTTTCCTTTACTGTTTTTAAGGTCACACTGGTATTGGAGCTATGAAGAAAGAGTAAATATCTTGTTAAGATATCAACATTGTGTTATTTATTTTTAATTATTTTAATTGCATAAACAAAGTAAAAATCCTATATTTAAAAAATTATGCCACAATAATCACAGTTTGATGGCCAAAGGAAAATTCTTTAATAAGAAGTTTATAGAGAAACTAATATGACCAGGGAGAGGGGTTCTGGGGATGGAGCCCAGGGCCTCACACAAATATAGCATGCTATACCACTGAGCTATATTTTTAAAACTTAAAATGTGTAAAATTAGGTTTTTTTCTTTCTTTTTGCCTAGATTTAATTCTGAGAAAAACAGATGTCACCAGTAATGGAAGGTGATGACAGTTCACATTCAGTAGCAGGAAGCTATCCACCAGGCACCAGAGGGCCTTATCTGTTGTGGCTTTGAACTGAAATGTAATGTAAGCCCAGAGAAAGGGCAAGCACATGTGCTCCAGGGCAAGGGTGGAGTGATGGAGTGATGGAGGTGGGATGTCCATGTGTGTGCCCCAAAGCACCTTCCTTAGCCTGAGGGATCCCAAGTACCAATGAGCTGTGCCTGACATTCAATAGAAACTTACAAGGCTGAAATTCTTTTGGTTCTCCCGAACTCTTTGAATCTCTGGAGTGTCCAAAACAGTCTCATAATACGACATGGACTTCTCTGCATCTTCTTTGTACTTTTTCTAAGAATAGATTCCAAGACATAAGGAAGGTAAACGCCACAGGGATATGGGCCAGCAGCCCTTCCAGCTCAGAAGAGGAAAATTTCTTTACATCTTCTTGAGTGTTCATGTTGGTAAAAGAGTTATAAAGCAGAGCCCTTAAGTCAGTGATGGCTGTCCCCTTTCTTTCAAAAAGAACTGAGGCCAACTATTTAATAGGATGGACTCACTGTCAGGACAGAGCTGGCAGAGAGTGGCTATTGCTGGCTCGTCCATATGAGAGCAGGCACTGCTAATGAGGCCTGGGAGGGAGATGGAGATGCCTCCAGTAGTGCTACTCATGGCTGAGCTAGAGAAAAGCACAGCCAGGAGCCATGCAGGCAGGCACAGAGGAGCAGGAGGGTTAGAAGTCTCCACATCCTGAAAGACGGCCTAGCTGGGTGGCAGGGAGATTTTCACTGAGGTTCTACCAGGTATGTTCAGGGCTCCTGGCTGCACAATTGAGCAGGCAGGAAGAACTCTGTGCTTCTAGAACATGACTCTGATGCTACAGAAACTGCCCTAGGGCTGGGGATTTAGCTCAGTGGCATCGTGCCTACCTTGCAAGTGCAAGGTCCTGAGTTCAATCCCCGTTACAGAAAGAAAAAAGAAAGAAAGGAAGGAAGGAAGGAAGGAAGGGAAAGAAACTGGCCTAATGGGACTGGAGACCCCACTAATTAAGTAGACCTGGGGTCACCACTGTTCCTTGGCCCATCACTTTTCCTTGGGCTTCCCTAACCCGCACTGAAGGGCACTTTAGGAGCTTTGCTGTTCTCCTGGACACATACACAGCCAATCCCTCTACGAGACTAATATCTTAGTTATTCTCTACAGGAGAATACTTACTCTACCTTAGAGCCCGTTTTTTCTTCTTTTGTTACTATGTCCTTTGACTTATCCCTCTAGTTTTAATTTAGTTCATTTTCCCTACTTTTCAGAGAAGTTTGCGGGTATAGGGATGAGGAGGAAAGAGACAAGCCACTTTTGTAATAGGGCTGTAATGATTCTATCTATATCTACCTTGTATTATCTATGAACTAAATGTAGTGAAAAGTTCAATCTCAAATACACAGAAGTAGTTTCAAAAAGATCTTAGCCTAGATTTGATTTCTCTAACTGGGAGCCAGTTAAACCAGAGATTTCTGGAAGGAAAAAAATAGTTCCCCAGGAACACACACTTTGTCCTGGAAAAAGTGACCTACATGACTCTTCTTAGTTATCTAAGTGTAAAGAAAAGAGTTCTCAATTTCCTAAGAAAAGAATATAAGCTGTCCTCCTTTTCTTTCCTTAACATTAAGTAAAAGTTGCCTCAATTGTTTTGCAGAACCATTTAGACATTGATCATTTCTCTGATCCCCAAGAAAGGTAATCAATTTGCATACAAAACTGAAGGTATTTTTGGAGAAAAGTACCTGAACGGTTCCCCTGGTATTAAGAACCATCCAGTATAGTATCCTGGATTTGTGTGTGAGCTTAAACTGCTTGCATTAATCCTCAAGTAAGAGGCTCTTAAAGTTATAAAATACATACTTCCTATGAAATTGAGAAATAATTTTGTGGAAAACATCATTCTGTCATTCAAAAGTAAACACTGATCTGAACTGGGGAGGAAGTAACCTGCCTGCCATACTTTAGGCCTTGAGGAAGCAGCCAAATTGAACACACACCAGCAGAGTAAGTGACCGAGCTCACCCTGGGACTGGCCAACCTGCTCTTCTCCTCAAACGTCAGCAATGTCAAAAGCAGAGGTCAGAGCAGCTGCTAAGTCTCTTACAGCTTAAAGGATGTTGGCCTCCCTGACTCTCCCGTGAACACAACATGGTACCTCTGAGGAATATCCACCCTCAGCTTATTTTATAATTTATTTAAAGTCTAATCCAGAAATTTCAACTCTGACCCAAACCTGCACCACTGAAGTAAGTCCATTTTGCTTTATTGGTGAAAATTCTGATTTGAAAACACCTCCATCAACGTTAGTGAGAGGACTTTTGTTTTTCATGATTGGGACATATGAGAGATACTATGCTGAATGTTCTTACCTGGCTTGAAAGGTTCTTGACTTGTTGGGCATGAATGATCTCTGGAGTATCAACCACAGATGTGAAATTGGCTTTTTCCATGTCTGCTGATTGCTTATACTTAATCTATAAAAGGCATCCAAGAATTGAGTAAATGTTTTTGAAGTGCAGAACAGTTTGGTTTTGAGACAGTGTCTCTGTGTAGCCCAGGTTGGCCTTGAATTCTCAATTCTTCTGTCTCAGCTTCTCAAGTACTGGGATTACAGGTATGTACCACCATACTTGACTATGCACAACATTTTTTGGTTTGATTTAATTAAGAGATAATTAACATTTGTGTTCTAAAAGTTAACATTCAATAGACATTTCTTCCTATTGTGTCTATAGCTTTATATGAAAGTGAGATTCAGAAAGAAGCTTTGATCTGTTAAAAGACTTATTTATTTAGGTGTAGCATTGGGTATGTGTAAGAGAAAGATAACCAGCAGATTGAAAGACATGGGCTTTTTACATGAGATTTGGCAGAATGATAAGTAACCAAAATACCCACATCAATTAGCATTAGACAACACTGGATACCTAAAAGATGTGTTTAAAATTTTGGCCTTGAAAGCAGGGGAAGAACTACCCAAAATAGTCTAAGCAAGGACTTATTGGCACCAAATAAGGAATGGGTTGACTGAAAAGCAGAGCAAAGATGTCAGATCTACTCCAGCTTCACGTAGTGATTTGGTTCCCCAACTTCTGCCATTTGTTCTGAAGATTCAGAAAGCAGCTCGGCAGGGTCCCGGTCCTTCCATTGGAATGGATTTCACTAGGCAGATGTTCAAGAATGCCACTGTATGTGTTTGATTGTCACTGACAATCAAGATGACAGAGGAACAACACTGTATACTTTCTTGAAAGACTGACCTGGGATAGAAACACTGACCTGACTGGCAATATCAGTAGCATTCTTGGCCCGCATAAAATCTGGAGTTTCGTTAGCCATGGCATTCAGGCCTCTTCCCTTGACTTCCAGTTCCAGGTCTCGCTTATATTCTTTCTATAGATGCATTATTAAAAAAAAAAAAGAGTCACTTAACTTCTAATAGATGGTAACTGAACAGAGTGACTATGAAATATAAATTTATTTTATTTTTATTTATTTATTTTTTTGGTACCGGGGATCGAACTTGGGTCCTTGCGCTTGCAAGGCAGGCGGCAGAACCACAGAGCTAAATCCCCGGCCCTGAAATATAAATTTATATAATAAACCACCTCAGTTGTCACAGGTAGTGTCTCTCTTAGCATTTACATTCAGTTTCACGTAACAGGATGGAGTGGTGTCTACAGAAAAGTCACTGTAGGAAAATACCCTATGTATTTCAGTATGAGTCAACATAACTCCTTTTGAATGCCTCTATCATTCTCCACTTAGAAATTTAACATAGAAAGCAAATTTAAAATCTGGTTTGTTACATAACTAGGATTAAATTTAGGTATACACCACTCCATGCTGTTTTAATTTAAATAAGCACACCAAATATATCAAGGTTAAATAAAAACTATTAAATAAATGATTATAACAACCACTCATCAGAAATTGACATATATTTTATTTAATGATTAATAATGCTGGATATAGAATTTGCTATTAAAAAAACTATCTCTTTCTGGGTATGTGCCTTTTGGTGCAACTTTAGTAAAAGAAGGTACTCTATTACTTATGTGCATGTGGTTGGCTGTGATCTTACCTCATTGAGAATCTGAGTGGCATTCTTTGCTCGTACCATGTCAGGAGTATGTTCCATTTCAGTGAGACCCTTTCCACGGATGCTTTCCTCTAGATCTTTCCTGTACTCTTTCTGTATCACAAAGTAAAAGCAACAGTACTGACAAAAAAGCCTAAGTTGTTCTGTTAGGTAAAGAGCAAAAACAAAAACAAACAGAAAACAAACCCTTCTCATTTTTAATAGCTCACTGTTAAGATAAAGGTGGGGTATAAGCTTCATCAGTTAATATTAAATATCAAATAAAAGAGTAGGAATTAATAGAAGGTTAAAGTCAGCATATTTTCATTAGGCATTCCATAAGAAATTAGAAGAATTATCAGGGTAACAGATTAGGTGGTAGTACCAAACACATGTGAACTCAACCTGAAACTCGCAGTTAGGTGGTGATGAAAATGGCAGCAGGAACACATTGATGAGTGTCATTAGTGCAATTATTTGGATCAAGAGGGAAAGAAAAGACCAAGTGGCCACTACCTCGCTTGCTATTTTGGTTGCATATTTGACATGTAATAAAGCTGGCGTGACCTCCAGGCCTGTTAGGTTTCTGCCTTTAATGGACTCTTCATACTCTTTCCTGTATTCTTTCTAACGTGAGTAGGAAGGAAAGACAAGTTAAAAAAATCTTTTTTATAATTTATCTCTCAGTCTTAGAAAGAAAATTCAGTATGGTCTCTTAACACAAAGTTCTGCTAATGGCCACACATTTGACACATGTCTGATTGTCCTGGAAATATTTTGCCTACAGCAAATAGCCCTGAGGAGACTGAAGTTGAGAATCTTGTTTGGGCCTTGCTCAGATTTTTTTTTTATCTTAATAGGATTTTAAATTTACAGAAAAGTTGTAAGTACAAAGAACGCCCATAGATTCTTTATTTGGATGCACCACTTGTTTGAAACAATTAAGCTTTTAAACTCCACAAACTGCTATTTTTGTCAAAAACCATTTATCTATATAGTTGCAGATAGGTACCCATGGAGAAGAGGCAAACTAAAATTCCAAATAAGCCTGTTTCCCAATGAAACAGACTTTCTAAGATTCAAAATAAGATCTCATTTTTCTCTACTTGAGGTTAAAAATGAAAAAAAAATTTTTTAATGCCTCCACTTACAATTCTAGAATAAGAAATATGACACCTTGATTTTCAAATTTTGGGGGACTTGATAAACATCTTGATTACTGATCCCCTTTTGTTTGACTTGGGGCCTCCTACAAAGAGTAGACAGCATTTCAAACTGAATGATACATCTGCATGGAGGGAACTTTTCATTTATCAAAGAAAAATTAAAATTACATTCTGTATAATTTTTTTCAATGTTAGGTATAGTTTGCTGTGTTTTCATTTTATGAAAATGGTTGTTAAAATAAATCATAATAAATATCTACTATTTAGAACACTTTTTATAACTCCACTGGGGGATTTCTGTAATGAAAAATATTTTAGTAATCACATGTTAAAAAGTTCTACCATTAGGGCCGGGATTTAGCTCAGTGGTTCAGGCACTTGCCTCGAAAGTGCAAGTTCCCAAGTTCAATCCCCGGTACCAAAAAAAAAAAAAAAAGTTCTACCATTATCACTTTTGGAATATCAGGAGGCTGGATATGTTTGTTGGCAGAGTCTGTGTTCATTAGTGTTATGATATCATCGCTGTGTGATGTATTTTTGTAGAACTTACCCCACTCTGCATCTGCTGAGATTCCTTAGCAGTGATGTAGGTTGGTGTTTCAAAGTCCAACATGGGCTTTCCTCGTTCCTTTTCATATTTTTCTTTGTATTTCACCTAGTGATGAAAAGCCTCGTTAGCTACTTCTTCTCTGGTTAATTTTTAGTCAGAGACCAGTTTAAGGACAATGCTTTTGAAATGATACATTATGGCCATTTGGATCATCTCATTGTCACTCCAGTTTGGGGCTGTTCAGGTCCAGGAACTTTTTGTGCTTTCCTGGGTTGTGGTGGAGGGATATAATCAGGATTTAGATTCAATTCAAGGATATAAAGAACCACTGACAAGAATCAGCTGAAAGAAATATTGATACAAAGAAATACATGGAGAAAAGTGTACATACATAAGGCTAGAGAAGATTTAACGTGTAAATGCTAACACTTTAACATATTTAGTCAATATTTCTGATTTTTAAAATTTTCTGTTTTTATTTCATGAGAACTTTTAGAGACCTGGGGATTTGACTGATCACATAACACATACAGATTTATTTATAAGTAAATGATTTTCTGGGTCATAATGGATTATATATTTAATTCAGCCAAAATATACTGGTATAGAAATGAAAACTAGTTTACATGTTGACTGAATTATTAGTAAACTGGGTAATCTTAAAAGACTCACTGTTATTTTAAAAATATAATTTCCTCATAACATGTGATTAGAAATGGGGGAGCCATGTGAATATTCATATTTCACAGAGGAAAAACTGAAAGGGAAGCAAAGGCCTTTGTTCACACAGTGCCTTAATGGCATTGCTCAATCTCAGCTCTTTTGGTTATAGCAAGACGTCAGAATAGAGGCCTGGGGGTACATGCTGCTTTATGCAGTATACGCCTAGTAATTCATCTGTCTGGTGAATGTCCAAAGGGGACCTAAATAACAGAGAATTTGTGATATAGAGGTCATGTGATAACAAGTTCTTTCCTCTGAAAATCTTCGATTATTTGACAAATGTTTTAAAAAAATTTTATTTTACTGGTACATTTTAGGTATACAATATAATGACATTCATCATTGGAAATTTGTACCTTTACCTCATCTCTCTTGGTTCTTACTTTTTCCCCTTCCCCTGACCTCCCTTCAACCCTTCCATCCCTCCCTATTTACAAAGACTTTGTTTCCATTTTTCATTTTCTCTTATTCCATTCTCTTCTTTCCTTTCCCATAACCCTTCCACCTCCCCTTCCCCTTTGTCCCTTTTCTTCCTATTTCACATTATCTATTATACCTTTTAGTCCTTATTTACACTTTCAGTTTCTCACACTAGAGAAA